CTTCATGCTACCCCAATTTCAATCATGACTCCATGTAACCACTGCAGAAGGAAAATCCCAGGGTTGTGGGTGGGGGACTAAAACCCATGCCAACGTGGGTTACTTTAATCCATTTTGACGTAGGTTTTGGGGCTGTCTAGAAGTGCCCAAAGATTCATTACAAAATATGTTCTTCTGAGGAGATAGAAACCGTTGGAGCCTTTTTGCTTGAATTAAGGCATTTATTGAGAAAGAGAAACTAATCATTTGATATATATATACTTCTGGAATATGGCCATACTTCCCGGAAAACTCACAGCAACCCAGAAACCAATCAATTAATGCATTTCGTTCATACAGAAGAAATACCTAATCATATACAAAAAACCCTGGTTAAAAAAACATTGTATTTACAACATGCTCACAACAGGCATGTAGCCGGGGGGGGGGGGCTTGAGGGGCTTCAGCCCCACCCCCCAAATTCTCATGGTGGTTCGCGAAAAGGCCTTACTGGTGCATTATTTAAACTGTTATGTTTATTCATATCATGATCTGATCACCATACTCAATATATCCATATGCATGGGGGTATTGGGGTAATGATACAAAAGGTTTGCTAGGCTAGACCCTCTTTCACTCAGACTCAGCCCCCCCCAAACTCACGCCCCCCCGAACCCCCCCCCAAAATTTTTTTAACCCCCCCCCCCCCCCGAAACGAAATCCTGGCTACAGGCCTGGCTCACAACATATCTAAAGCATGGCTCTTTCCCTTACTGGGGTATTCTTAGACCAGTTCTTAAAACTCCAACATGCTAATCATAACACTGCTGTACGGTAGCTCACTGTTCTATGCCTAAGCCTAATGAGTTTATCCTAATAAATTGGATTTCATGCTATATATTAGTGCCCCACATGGGGGAAAAGGATATGAATTTACCCATCCATCACTTTATTTATATCTTGCCCTTTTCCCAGACTGGGACTTTACAAAGGACATAAAATGACAATGAAATTGCATACAGTTGAGATTATAACAGTATTAAGGCAACAACAGAATTAAAGCTATTTAAAATATTGTTTTAAAACAAAGATTAAAAACAGCACAGCACTATTAAATAACTGTTCTCTTGTTAGCAATTCCCAAAGGCTTACAAGAATAGAAAACTATTCACATGCCATCGGAAAAACAACAAAGAAGGAGCTAACTTATCTGGGAAGAAAGCTCCACAGCTGCATTTACACAATAGAATTAATGCAGTTTGACACCACTTTTCTTGCCATGGCTCAGTAGTCATGAACAATTAGAGATATAGTTTTACAAGCCTTCTATGCCAAACAGTGCTGGTGCCTCACCAAACTATAACTTTCAGAATTCCATAGCATTGCACCAAGGCTGTTCAAGTGGTGTCAAACAACTCTAATTGTATAGTGTAAATTCACAACAACTCCAAGAGCAGCCACAGGAAAAGTCTTTACTGAGTTCCTACTGAATGTGCTTCTGAATGCAGTAGGCTATTATAGTTATTATTATTATTATTATTATTATTATATACATAGATACATTATGGCAGAGCAAATGAGATATATATGTGTGATTTTGTATCACAAAATCACAAGTCGAACATCTCCCAAGCATTTAGAACTGTGTGATGTATTTTCGAATGATGCGTGCAAATCCAAGTAAGGTGTCCTTTTGAGGTTGACAGATCATGATTTTGTCAATGTTTATTGTTTCAAATGTCGTCTGAGGCTATTATTATTATTATTATTATTATGAGGAGGAGGAGGAGTATTGAACACCTTAGAGCTTGTTCAGGCTCATATGGGAACATAAAGTCCTTCAAACAACCTGAACTTGAGCTGTATAGCAGTATGAAGCAATACATTACTGCTTGTATCGCAGTAGGGATGTTGGATAATAAGAACCTCTGGTTCAAAATTCACCATTACAGCATTATGATATTATCTATGTATATAAACCAGACCCCCCCCCCCCCCCCCCCCATTTAAGATCAACCCATTCAGCCTAAGCAGTCAACTCAAGATAGGAATGTCTTACCATCAAAGGCCACAGTCTGCAACACCATAATCTCCTTATCACTTTTTCGGAGGAAGGGTGCAGCTTCCCCGAATTCTGACATGTCCATCATCTTGGCAGATCAGTTGAAGTGTGAACTCCCCAAAGAGAAATGAAGTGCACAAGCCTGAAACAACAAAATGATGAAACATGTAACTGCTCAAGGTAGAGAGATATAACACAGTTCAGCAAAGTGCCTTTTTCCAGAGTGAGTTGAACACAAATGGTATGTAAGAATATCTCAGAGAATCTAAACAGTTTGGGTCTCAGGACAAACGTGTCAAAAGAAGAATAATGTTTCCAGATCAGTAGTATAGCTATCCATGGATTGAATGGGAAGTACAGATTTATTGGTCAGTGTGTGGTCGAAGGCTTTCATGGCCAAAATCACTGTGTTGCTGTGAGTTTTTCGGGCTGTATGGCCATGTTCCAGAAGCATTCTCTCCAGCAATCCAGTGATTCTGGCCATGAAAGTCTTCTGGAACATGGCCATACAGCTCGGAAAACTCACAGCAACCCAGATTTTTTGTTGTTGTTGTTGTTGTTGCTGCTGCTGTTGCTGTTGCTGTTTTTGGTTCAAAGACTGGGAACCAAAAGCACTTCACAATCTTAAAAATTATACAGCTAAAAACCCTACAAAATATCAATATTAAAATAGAATGATATATTACAATTATGTAAGTGGGTTTTAAAAATCTGTTAAACACAATTCCTGTTGCAGCTGATTGCAACTGTTTTGCAATGGTTTCTGATCAAAATGGAATTAAAAAGAAATACTCTTCAAAACAAAAAAAAACAAAATTAGGAAAGTGGAATAATGATTTTTTTTCTAGGATGATTTGACCTATGGATGAACTAACCAATTTTCCTTGCCAAAATGCTAGAAGTTGCATAGAGAGGGTGGATGCTGCCAAAACTGCATAGACAATTTGGGAACCTTAAAGACTAGCAGATTTAAGGGATACAATATATTAACAGTGCAATCCTCAATGTTTTTACTCAGAATTCAGTTCCATAACATTCACTAGCTTTTTTCTAGTTAAGTGTGCCTAGAAAAGAAGCATTAAGCTGAACATGTGACTCATCTCAGAATTTAAAATATTTGTGACAATAGAAAGGAGGCTGGTGCCCGTCCTCCTTTTAAAACAATCCTTTTCTCAGCTGCAGTAAATCTAAGAGAGGTTTCCAATATTCCAGAATTGGTCGGGGAAAGATGGAAATTCCCATGAGGAATTTAAAGAAAGAAAGCTCTTGCTTTTTCTCACTGCACACAAGAATCCATTTATATAGACAGAATAGTCTGCAGGGATACTGTGTCCTGTTTCACTCATTTTTATGGACCAGCACAGACTACCTACATCTAAAGTCACATGCCAGTTAATTTTTTAACAATGTTGGGCATAGAAATCTTGACAGATCACCTTCTCTCTGCCTGAAATAACAACCAACTTTATATGATCAATGAGAAAAACAGAGCTACCATTTGTTTGACTTTCATGACTGTAAATTATGAAAATGTAAGAAACCCAAACATAAGCCAACAATGTCACATGGCAGCTTAAAAAACCAATGGGATTTTGGCATGCATAAATAGGAGTCTAGTGTCTAGATCCAAGGAAGTCATACTACCCCTCTATTCTACCTTGGTCAGACCACACCTGGAATGCTGTGTCCAATTCTGGGCACCACAATTGAAGGGAGATGTTGAGAAGCTGGAATGTGTCCAGAGAAGGGTGACTAAAATGATCAAGGGTCTGGAGAACAAGCCCTATGAGGAGTGGCTTAAAGAGCTGGGTATGTTTAGCCTGCAGCAGAAACGGCTGAGAGGAGACATACCCTGCAGACTAAAATGCAATGGAACAATGGCTTTAAACTTCAGGAAAGAAGATTCCACCTGAACATGAGGAAGAACTTCCTGACTGTGAGAGCTGTTCAGCAGTGGAACTCTCTGCCCCTAAGTGTGGTAGAGGCTCCTTCTTTGGAGGCTTTTAAACAGAGGCTGGATGGCCATCTGTCAGGGATGTTTTGAACATGATTTTCCTGCTTCTTGGAAGGGGGTTGGACTGGATGGCCCACAAGGTCTCTTCCAACTCTATGGTTGGATCTAGACCTTACAATTCTAATTTTAGATTCAGATTCCGAATCCATATTTCTAGATCCATATTTTGTTGCTGTGATATACTTCCATCCCCAGTTCATGCAAATATTAATTTAGCATTTGAAATGTTTAAGTGGACACTTCATTTTCTCAGTTGTGCTGCCCACTTGCAGCAAAATATTATTTTGGCTCAATTGGAGACCTTCCATTTTGCAGTATACATGAAAGCCTTAAAAACAGCTCTTGTCATTCCTCCTTAATTTCACTGAAAGCTCAGACAGTCAGTGAATGAGATTACAAGAAGACGGTCTCGTTAAAACTAGAGGGCAGGAAGGTCACATAACCTTTGTGTGACAGAGGTCTCATTAACTTTCAACCGCATCGACAGCAATTGACCTAAACTTCCGTATTACCAGAGATAAGAAAATGCCATGCAATTTCTTTCTCTCATCAGTAATGTCCCAGAGACTTGACAGTTCAGTCCCAGTCAACTTTATTCAGAAGTAAGGCCCGCTTTATTTAATTGGGTTTACTCCCAGGAAATCACATACAAGAATGCATCCAGAATGACTTTGGTCCATTCAGACCTGAAATCATCATAATGAGCAACCCTGTAGCAATTTTCCATCCATCGTGGGCTCTCAGTGAACTCTGTAAATGTTAGTCAAGTTTCTCAGATTCTCTGGGAATAGTGTCATGGACCTGCAATATGATGCTATCATATAGTGAGAATTCAAAAATGTAGCTATATTAGCCTGGAATATCAGTATGCAAAAGGATCCTGTGTTGCCTTAGGGACTGAGAGAATGAAATTGGTAGCATGAGCATTCGTAAACAAAGTTTGCTTCCTCAGATACATATATAGTTGATTAAGCTTTGGGGTATTGGCATGAGGCTGAAAGGCAGAGGAAAATGGCATTCAAATCCTTGGAGAAGCATATAGAATCATAGAAACATGGAGTTGGAGGAGCCCTCATGGGCCATCCAGTCCAACCCCCTGCCAAAAAGGAGGAAAATTGCATACAAAGTACCCTCACTAGATGGCCATCCAGCCTCTGTTTAAAGGCCTCCAAAGAAGGAGCCTCCACCACATTCCAGGGCAGAGAGTTCCACGGCTGAACAGCTCTCACAGTTCGGAAGTTCTTCCTCATGTTCAGGTGGAATCTCCTTTCCTGTACTTTGAAGCCATTGTTCAAAGTGTCCTAGTCTCCAGGGCTGCAGAAAACAAGTGTGCTCCCTTTTCTCTATGACTTCCCCTCACATATTTATACATGACCCTCATCATGTCTCCTCTCAGCTTTCTCTTCTCCAGGCCAAACATTCCCAGCTCTTTAAGCCACTTCTCATAGGGCTTATTCTCCAGACCTTTGATCATTTTAGCTGCCCTCCTCTGGACACATTCCAGCTTAGAGTCAACATCTCCTTGCCATGCCCAGATTTGGACACAGTATTCCAGGTGTGATCTGATCAAGGCAGTATAGAGGGGTAGCATGACTTCCTTGGATGTAGACACTATACTCCTATTAATGCTGGCCAGAATCTCATTGGTTTTTTAAGCTGACACATGACATTGTTGGCTCATGTTTAACTTCTTGTCCATAAGGACTCCAAGATATTTTTCACATGTACTGCTGTCAAGCCAAGTGTCCCCCATTCTGTATCTTTGCATTTCATATATCCACAGAGAGAGGAAGGTCAGGAGAAGGAGGGCTATATTTTATGAAGGTTCAAAATAATACTTTTCCCACCCAAAACTGGAAGGAAAAATGAATTATTGTCCTCCACAATCTCGGGGCCCTTCCAAACAGCCATATAAACTAGAATATCAAGTCAGAAAATCCCACAATATCTGCTTTGAACTGGGTTATCTGAGCCCACACTGCCATATATTCCAGTTCAAAGCAAAAATAAAATGTGGGATTTTATTCTGCTGTGTGGAAGGGGCCTCAGACAATGTTTTCCCTTCTTTGGTATCAATAAGAATTGGCTTAGGCTGTGCATTTCCTAAGGGACTCCAGCTCTTTTCTGACTTAAGTGTTTTGTGGATAACTGATCCACCAAGACATATAAGCTATGCAACAGAAAAGCTCCCTAAGATATTTGGAAAGAAGGAAAGCCTGACTTGCATATAAAAGAAAACCAGTCCATTCTCAGCATCACAAGGACCCACATCTCATTTCAAAAGTAACGTGGCTCTTCCATCTGGTGAGCATTTTGACTCTGTGCAAATCTCAGCAGAAGCAACTATTTCCAATCCTTGCTTTCATCGGCAGCATTTCAGAGCTATCAAAACTCAAACTTGCACAATTTAGCATCATGAAATACCATTCAGAAAAAAATTCCACAGCACCCAGACTATGAATCCATACTTCAGAAGGAAGAGAGATTGGTACCTACCTTGGACAGTAAAGGACCAAGTTAGGGGCTCTCACTTGCGCCTGACTTTTTATACACCTTCCACCAAGGTCACTGATGATAAGGATGCAAAAGGGCATCATTTGTTTCTCGTGTTTCTATATTTGTCTGCTGGGACTTGAGAAAAGCAAAAAGGAGGGAGATGAATGGACACTTTCAGCCTGTGTGGCATTCTAGGGGGAGTGGTTTGGTTCTTGGTTTGGGTTTAATCTTCTCTCAACCTTTTATGAAGCAGTATAAAAGCTACAGCGAGTACATACAGTCTAAGAAAGGCAGTGTTACTTGTCCAGCCACAGAGTATTTGTAAAGCAAAGCCGCCAACTGCAAGCCAATAACTCTGAGGGACTGATAGATGATACGTTTCAGGGGAGAAAATTGATAGTTCTGTTCAGGCAAACAATACAGTGAGGAAAAAGTACATCAGGGAGAGTGTGAAGGAGTAGAATGAATGGCTCTGCTTCCCTTCTTTGTACAATCATTCAATGGATTGTGTGGACAAACCTACACACATATAAAGCGCACATGTTTTACGTTTAAGTATGCAGTTGGGCTGGTGGGAGTATTTCAGGCTTTATGAACAATGTGTACACTTTGTAGGA